GAGAGAGAGAGAGAGAGAGAGAGAGAGAGAGAACTTTATCGGGGTTACCCTACAGAAGGGATCATGCTCCTCCCAGAAGCCATAGGTGGCCAATTAGTTTTTGCTTTTCAAAATAATTCATGGCCCTTTGAAAAGTGGAATGCCGGGTACTAAATTCTTCCTCTAAATATTCCATGTTAATACCCACTTTCTTATATCCTTATTATTAGATTTACGTATCATCCCAAGAAGAAAGTTACGATATGGGGACTGGAAAGATGGCTCAGTGGTGAAGGGCACTCGCTGCTTTTGCAGAGAACTTAGGTTCTGTTCTCAGCACCCACGTGGTGGCTTGCAACCATCTGTAACTCCAGTCAGGAGATCTGACACCCTTGTCTAGCCTTCCTGAGTGCCAAACATATACATGGTGTACTTACATCCATGCTGGCAAATAAAAGATGGATAGATAGATGGATAGATAGATAGATAGATAGATAGATACATACATACATACATACATACATACATACATACATAAAATAAATAATAAAATAACATAATTACAACTTTCCTCCAGTGTTAAGTCTATATAAATTTGACCTGTTAGTCCCTAAAGTCAAATCTACACTGAATTAAACTTTCCTTCTTCAAAGTCTGCTTCATACTTATAATTAATCAGACCAAGTGATAGGGAACAGAGGAATGGATAGGGGCTCTTTTGCCTTCCTGTTGTAGAAAGGTGTCTGCATGCATGTGGTATTAGTCGCTTAGTGAGGACGCAGTGTTACACTCGCTTGTTCTGAGTCAACACTTCAGGCAGGTAATGCAAACACTGGCGTGACTCAGTCTTCCAAAAGTGGCTGAACCCAGAAGTCCAGGGAACAAGGAAGTGAACAGAGGATGGTAGAGAGGTACACCTGCCACAAGTCTCATAAACATTGGGGACAACCTGGCCCTGGGGTCAAACCTGGGCTCCTGCATGCCTGACTGTCCTTGCTCCTCCCTTGCCTGAGAAGTCTGCTGGCTGCAGATGAGAGAGAAGACAGTCTGTTTTCAAGGTGTTAACCCTTTGCCTTCTCAGATCCCTGGATCTGGACAAAGCATTACTTAAAGATTTAATCTCTTAATGTGTTGTGTGTCTTACAGTGAAACAGAGGAACAAAGGAGCCCAGAGCAGGGGCCTCAGATAAGACAGAAGCAGGCAATGATTAGAATTCTCTATGTCTAAAGTTCTTACCAGAGGAGGCTGGAGTTGGGATCCAAGAGAGAGTCCCTAGAAAGTTAGGCAAAAAGAGAAGGAGGGAGGGACGGAGGGAGGGAGGGAGGGAGTGAGGGAAGGAAGGACAGAGGGAGGGAGGGACAGAGAGAGAGAGAAATGCTTCTAGAATATTTTCCTGCTTCCCTCAAAGCTGAAAGAGTGACCTGATGTGTCATCCCATCACCTGACAAGCACTTAAACTCAACAGAGCCATGTATGAGACCCCTCTGAGGAGATCTCTGCCACACCAGAAGGCTGTGCACTGTTTCCCTGCCTCCCTCGTCTGCATGGGGAAGCTGATATTATTTGGATTGCTCCAGGACGCCAGTTTTGTTTCATCAAGAAAGCAACAGAGCTGTGCTCACAAACTCAGTCTCACAGTTTTTCTTCTTACTCCCCAAGGGAATTTCTCGGGAGCCACAGTATCTTTTCCTGTGTCCTAAGAAGTGAAGACAAGCCAGCCCACATCAGCCCAGGCCTCAGGTTGCTATGCTCACCATATATGCTGACAGAAAGAAAAGGTTATGTGTGGTGAGCATAAGATGTAGGAAGCTGAGTTGGGAACAGGATTAACTGATCCTGCCTACACCCAGCCGTCTGGCTGGCAGGGTGCTGAGGAAGAAACAAACTTCCTGATGATGGGGAAGCCCCAAGCAATGAACAAAGCAGGAGATCAAAGCCTTGGAAGGCTTCTATGTTCAAGAAGAGGAAGGACATTGTGTGTGCAAGGTAATGTAGAAATGAGAACACCAGGTAGCTCAGCTGACACTTTAGCAGCCTGAGATATTGCTGGCTAGAATATCTTCCCACTAGGGTAGAGCAGGTGTCCATAAAGCTGGTGTCATTGTTTGGGATTCTGAAACAAATAGCATCTGCAAAACTAACATAAACACGATGACAAATGGAACCAATGGCTCAGAGCTGACCTCGAGAGGTCATCATGTCCACTCCCTTGTCCACAAACAGAAATGCAAAATTTACCTCCGATGGGTATATAAAAAAAAAAAAGAGTAAGGTTTGACTTTTTTTCTTGTGAATCCAATGAAGCTCTACAGCTTTCCTGGGTAACATGTTTGCAAGACTTATTATTTTAATGTTCAGAAAGTTCTTTCTTAGCTTAAATTTATATAATTCGGAACTGTTTAAGTATACTACACAATATCTGTCTGTGCTTGGCAGATGGCTTTGCACATACATGCATATTCCAGAGCACAAAGCTTTTGGTTCCTTACATGTATATTTCAAACATAGAAATAATGCAATAAATCTATGGGATACCCTGTAAGATATAATAACTTAAATCATCAATGATATTTATTGGACTCCAGATTGATTTTAAACAGTTTTAACAGTTAATTTTGCACAAATTATATGAACACTGGCCTCCTACAAGGACAGGGAACAACCTTTGAGGATTTTTATCTTAAACTTTTCTTTGGTTTCATAACACCTTCATCTTTCTCACATTTAAGGGATGTGTAAATATCCCTTTAATGATATGTAATATCCCTTTAAGGAGACAGCTTGCTGCAATAGTGTCCTGTTTTGAACACCATATTTTTTTCCAAAATTTAAAAAGGTTTTTTTTGTGATCACCTGGGAATAATTTTTGAGAGCGGCATAGATGAGAAGACCCATGTTCAGTCTTGCATTCGTATTAAAAGATTGTCTCACAAAGAGTTTTACAGGTTATCCATGCTCCTCACTCTGTAGAGTTTGGCTCCTGATTTAGCTAGTCCTGAGAGATGAGCAGTCACAGGTGTCTCTAAACCACAGAGACCAGAGAGGTGGCTTTAAATATGTTACAAGTTCTTACAGCAGCCCTTCTACAACACAAGGACAATAGGCACAAGGCATCCAGTTCATGGTGGGAGCAATTTGCATACATACTGTTCCCTTGAAAGAAGTTTATTCCTGTGCCTAAAACTCAACTTCTAGGCCAGGTATGGTATTGCATCTCTTTGAATCCAGCATTTGCAGGGTAAAGGTAGGAGGATCAGAAGTTGAAGGTCATCTTTGGCTACATATTGAGTTTGGTGCTCGTGTGAGCTACATACAATCCTAGAAGAGAAATAGAACAATCAAGAAACAACCCGAAGTTTACAGCTCCCACCTGAGTGATGAGCCCTAGAAATGGATGAGGTTTTGTATTTTCATGTTTGCTGAGGCTACAGAGAATTAAACACTGGTTTTAATTTTGTACTAATGCATTCTTCAGTCTGTTGTTAGAATGAGCACAGACAAGCTGTTGACATCTTAGAGCACCTGATATAACTACCTCTTGTTTAGCAGTCCAAGGTTTTGTGCTCTGTTGGCCTTGATGGCATTGTACCCAGTCCCAGATGGAGAACACTTGCTCCTGTGAATTAACCTCCCTTGTACTTGAACTCTTCCCATTTAATGGGTTAATGACCCTTCCATGTCCCTATATCTTTGTACAAACTGCAGCCTATGCTTGGAAATTTCTGTCCCTTCTCCCAACTTAACACATTTCTGATCATCCTACAAACCCTTTTCAGATTCCCATGGAGCCACATCTTTTTTTTTTTTTTCTTGGATGTTTTATTTACATTTCCTATGTTGTCCCCTTACCCCATCCCCCACCGACCTGGGAACCCCCTATCCCCTTACCCCTCCTCCTTCTTCTCTGTGGATGTAACCCCTACCTACCCCCCACTCCCACTTCCCCACCCTCAAAATTCCCACCCCCTGGGGCGTCCAGCCATCATGAGGCCAAGGATCTCATCTTCCACCTGTGCCCAGCAGGGCCCTCCATTCTTACATATTCAGCTGAAGCCCTGGATCCCTCCCTAAGTGCTCCCAGCCTGGTGGTTTAGACCCTGGGAGCTGTGGTTAGTTGATATTGTTGCTCTCCTCATGGTGCCGCAAACCCTTTCAGCTCCTTCAGTCTTCACTCTAACTCCTCCATTGAGAACCCCATTATCAGTTCAATGGCTAGTTGTGAGCATCTGCCTCTGAATATATCAGACTCTTGAAGGCCTCTGAGGAGACATCCATATCAGGCTCTTATCAGCATGCACTTCCTGACTTCCACATCAGCATCTACCTTTGGTGACTGCACATGGGATGGATACTCAGGTGGAAAAGTCTTCAGATGGCCCCTCCTTCAGTTTCTGTCCCTCACTTTGTCTCCATATTTGCTCCCTTGAGTATTTTGTTGCTCCTTCTAAGAAGGACCGAATTACCCCCACTTGGTCTTCCTTCTTTATGGGCTTCATGTGGCCTGTGAGTTGCATCTTGGGCATTTCAAGGTTCTGGGGTAATAACGAAGCCACATCTTAATACTCTACTACTACTGTCTAAGATACAGCCATCTTAAAGAGAAGATACAAGGTCACTTTCTCTGTCCATTCAGATATTTATTTCTGTGTGTATCTTACCCATGTATGCCTTTCACATTTCTCAGTATCCATGACAAAGAGGAGTAACTCAAATCTTTCCCTAAATGAATGACCACATTGTTTGAATGCTTTTCTATGAAGGTTTATTTTTGTCACATCATCCAGCATGAATAGTATGGCTCTGGAGATGTGTCTGAAGCTAGCAAGCCTTTTGTAAGATAGTGTGTACACAGCCTTTGTTGATTAGTTTTGTCATACTACAATTCGTAGGTTTCTGGACATCGATAGAGCTATCTTTCTCTGTTTAGACTCTTCTCTAGTGTGGCCACACCTGGAAGGACATGATAGTTCAGAAGACCTTACAGCTGTGCAGGTCACTTCAGCTTCAGTGATCTGCACGATCAGAACGGATGTAAGCAGCAGGCTTCTTTCTTTTTTGAACAGTAGCCCACTTGTGTTTCCATAAAATTACAGTATTCTTGACAGTGTCCTTCACTTCTCTTGCAGTTGACAATTTGGTAATTTGGATCAGGGTCTGTAAAAAGTAATGTCCAAATAAGTATCGTAAGATTATGCCAAGAATGAGTCAGGGGTCGTTTCTAAAGTAAGGCTATTATTCGAGGGATGGCAATACATATGAAATAGCTAGTCATGTTCATAATTTCAAATTCTAATCAATGAACACAAGTCCAGGCAGCACTCTGTTTCTTCAAAGTCTCCCAAATCCCTATATTTACAAAATGGCATTGTAATATTTCCTCACAGCATACTGTCAGAAAGAACATACTCCCCACGTTGTGTCTGCCTATATTTGTGGTGTGACAACTGCATTTCTTTTTTTCCTTCCCTGAGTGAACTAAGTCCTTTGAAACAGGAGGTGAGTTCCAAGGAAGCAGAGATTGTGATAGGGTAAGGAAGCAGCTAGAGTTGATGGGACTGTATCTACTGAACAGCATCAGGAATTTGCCAGCATTCAGTTGTCTTCCTTCTCCACTGACCCTTGTCTCTGAATCAGAAATGATTTTGTGATTAAGGGAATTCTAGGAACTACCAGCTCCTCCAGGCTTTGTGGATTTGGAGCTGGCTCTGGGGTAGGGCATGGGGACAGAGAAGAAGCCTGGATGGGACTAGAAGAGTTCAGAAGAAAGCTTGGGCTTGTGGTACTTTGCCACTCCTTGTATCTGACCCCACAGAAGGTGGTGAACAGCTCAGCCTGTCCTCTTGCCTGATTCCCTAGGAAACCTGCCATAACTTCATCTGACACCCAGAACTTAGCAACTATTCAACAAATTCCGATTGAGAAAACTACCTCCAAAGCTGGGGGAACAAGGAACTGGGTAGAAGGAGAAGCTTCTTCTCTGTTTACTACTTGAATCAAGTAGGACATTACCATAGTGAACTTAACCAACTCACCTCTTGGCCCCTCAAGACTCCTATGTTTCTGAGTCCCTCAAGGATCCTGTTTCTGCAGACTGCAGGATCTCCTGACTTTCCTGACATCTAGGGAAGACTGAACCACCTACGCCATGTCTCCACAAATAGTGATGCTCACCTCATCCCATCCACACCGTCCCCTCCCATCACATGCGCTCAGTATTTCCCTAGTGGATGAACCTGCCTTGTTCTCCAGTGTTTGACTTACCCCGGTAAGGAGCGGTGTGTGGGGGGAAGCGTTTCACTCTGTGATGCAACAGCTGAGACCCATTCACTCCTTGGGCAGGAAATTCGTCCTTGGGGAAACTGGGAGGTTCAGTGACTAAGTGGTTAATGGATGAGGCACCGGATAACCCTGCTGACATTCAGGATATTTAGGAACTCTCTATTCAGCAACCCAAGAAGACGGAACACATTTCAACAGTGAGTGAGACTTGACAAGAGACTGGAATGAACTTTGAGGGATTCACACAGATTCTTTATGTATGCATTTATCCACATGTATATTTGTGTGGGGAAAAAATGGAAAGAGTGTCCTGTGAAGAAATCCACCAGGAACAATGTGTACCTCAACAACAAGCTCAGCCTCCATCATGGACACCATAAATGCATTTGCCAAGATCCCTAAATCTAAGCCTCAGTGTCCTCTGTAGAACATAGAAGAATGAGGAGGAATCCTTCCTCTTGAAAAACTAATGCCACCAGCCCATCTGAGAACCCACCTCACTGACTTCTCCTCAGAAACCACATTAGGAAAATGTGCTCCAGGGCACACTGATGTCTTACGGCTGCCCTAGAC